CTAGAGGACACAGTGTCTCGTTCCCTACTCAGGGAACCATGGTTACATTAGTAACCTGAGACGATTTGTATGTCAAAGCCACACTGTTCCAAACCCTAGTATGCTGCCTACCTAGACAGCATTTTCAGATGTCATAGTCAAGCTTATGTCACAATTGGCATCATTATGCTGCCTTATGGAGGCATAGCATGTATCCTTAGCATTTAAAGCAATTCCAGAATGCATTGCGACAAATTTAGAGAAAAATAAATCATCAAAAATGGTGGACAATTAAAGAAAAATGTCAAAATATACTTATTTCATTTAGTATAGGTGCAAAATAGTTTCATATTTGTTTATATGCGCTGTGTGTTGTTATGCTTACTATGCTTTTTTATTGCACATTTAGCATAGCAACACGCTAACATAAATCCTTTTGGAATGATTTTGAATGTTCTAATGTCACTCAGAAGGTTCTATTTCAGTTACATATACACATATATATTTCAGTAAAATATACATAAATATGCTGTGTATTATGCTTACTAGAGTATTGTGCTATTAGCATAGCAACTTGCTAACATCAGACTCAACAAATTGCAAACATTCTAATTCAGTCACTAATGAGGTTCCATTTCGGATCGTAAGGTTTTATATTTCACTCAACGTTTATATGCGCTGTGTATTGTTATGCTTTCTGGAGTGTTGCGGTATTAGCATAGCAACATGCTAACATCATAATCTATTGGAATGATTTGTGAGTGTTCTAGTTTAGTCACTCATAAGGTTCCCTTTCACTTAGTATGCTTTTATATTTTATATTTCACTAAATATTTGTATGCGCTATGTATTGTTATGTCCACTAGAGTATTGTGCTATTAGCATAACAACATGCTAACCTCTATGTGACATGCATAGCAATGCTAACACTATTGTAATTAATTGTGAACGTTCAAATTCAGTCACTCATGTTGTCAGCTGTCAATGTAGGCAGTATACTAGGTTTTTCAAATAGAGCTAATAATTAGTTACATTCTTGGCTACATTAGCTACAGTTAATAATTAGCTACATTAGCTGCAGCGTACATTTGTGACAGTGCGCGTCATTTGTGCTGTGAAGCTCTCTCTGAAATCCTCCCCTGTGGACGGCACACGTGCTCCAGTCCTCTAGCTATCTTCATCACACACTTTCATTACCTCTTGGTGCAGCCATGCAGAAAGCCTCCTCTGTTTCACTGGCTGGGGAACTGACAGAACTGGTAAAAGAAAGACAAATCAAGGAAAGAAAAAATAAATAAATAGAGGTGTGTGTGGAGAAAGGGGAGGCAAGCAGTCATGTGATATTAAGCCATCAGTGTCTGTGAAACTAGGAGAAATGCAGTAACGTTGAAGTGAAGAATCTGTGCTTTTCACTAGTGCTGCAGAACCTCTGAATGTCAATGGAACGTATTAATTGTACATTGTGCATGAGGGAGCATTGGAGTGAGAAGAGAAAAACATAAAAAAAAAATTGGCCAACAGTGTGTGTGTGTGTGTGTGTGTGTGTGTGTGTGTGTGTGTGTGTGTGTGTGTGTGTGTATGTGTATATATAAAGAAAGACGTGTCTTTTGCTCACTAAGGCTGCATTTATTTGATTTATTTGAAATACAGTAAAAACGGTAATATTGTGAAATATTATTACAATTAAAAATAACTTGTTTTTTGAGCAAAGCAGAATTTTCAGCACCATTACTCCAGTCTTTAGTGTCCTTCAGATATCATTCTAATATGCTATTTATTATTATTATTATTCTTTGTATAAAATGTATTTATTTTTACTGAATTATGAATAATAGTTCTTATTACTAATAATATTGGTTTAAGTACACATTTATTTGTTTATTTATTACAATTAAAGAATTGCCTATTTAATTTAATAACACTTAACATATCAAAACAATTCAAATATACAGTTTATGATATTATTATATATTTCAAATAGTTATATTAATAAGATAAATATATAAATAATATTATTTACTATTTATTTTACTAAAAACAAAGTAAATAATTAAATGAAAACAAATTTGATAATAATAATTAATAAATATTAAAAAATAAGTATTAAATTTGTTATATAACTCCTATTGTATTATTATATATTTAACCCATATTTTATCATATTTTAATCCATATGTATTTTTAGTCTGTAGCCTGTAGAAAATTATTTATTTATTTATTTAAATAATTGCATATTTAATAAATAACAATTAAATGAAATAATTTACATAATTAAAATACACAGTTTATATTATACAACTCCAAACTATATTCATATGTTCATTACATGTATACATACACATGTATACATACACATGTATTTAATATATATTTAAGATACAATTGTTTTTCAATTTTTTCAACCATATGTATTTTGACAGCAGCCTTAGTGAAATGTTTCACCCAGCACAATTTGCACCAATATTCTGTACAGTATTACAGAAAACCAAATGTAAGACATAAAAACACATAAGTGAGTGACATGAAACTCTCTCACATTCGCCCCGGGTCAGTCTTTTTGTTGAGCCCTGAAGGCTTTCCTGTACTTTGGGCTCAAGTGAGCAGATCAGTATCTCTGCGGTTGTAGCATTGGGGAAGACAGGAAAATAGATACTGATGTATACATATATATGCATGTTTATGCAATACATGTATTTGCATGCATGTTTGCAAGGTTCTATGCATGGAAGTGTGTGTTTAGTTTCTAGGGACATCTAGTGGTAGACTGTTGGGAACATGATGCCACGACAAACGACAAAGCAGACCAACAGTTGATCTGATCGGATTTGCAGCAGATATTCCTTCGTGTTCTGGAATGTAGCACTTTCCATCAAACAGCCTGTGTTGGTGTAATGCCGTTGTGACCCTGCGAGCGACAGACCAGAATCACCCTTGACGCCCTTGCAGCCAGTCGCCATGACTGCCAACCAGATGGACTCTGTGGGAGTTCCCACAAAGCATCTGCCCGCTAAGCCACCACAAACACTAGCATTAGCATAGCGCGGAGGTCCCTTTTCAGCTGCCACGACGGGTTTAGTCACTTCTGGGTCAGGCATTAATGACATCACTTCCCCTCAGGCCAGAAAGCTGCTGCTCTCGAACCTCCGACAGCAAGCCCACAGCGTTTTAGCAGCTACTGATGCTGGAATGTAGCATAAGGCTCTGTTCTCTCTCCTGAGAGCACCGCACTCCTGTGCTTTTAAGCAGTAGAGTGTCGTGATTTGCTTCATTGTGATGGTTCTCAACACTTGGCTGTACTTGACTGCGTGTTTTTTTTACTCACCATTATATCGTTCAGAGTGCCAATTGACAAACGCCGTATGCAAATGCTAATGCAGCTGTGCCGGTTGGGGTTAATTGTCTTGATTATAGGTTATTCTACACTCAACATCAAAGATATACCACTTTTTTTATAGAAACGGACAAAAATGATACAACATAATACTCTATAGTACCATTCTCAAACATTTTAGATTTTTCTTACTTACAAAATGTTTTGTTTGTTTTACACTATTTTTTTTTAAATTCAGTTCAATTTAATTTCAATAAAGCTGATGGTTCATATGTCTCAACATTATTACTAATCAGAAAAGACAGTTGTATGGATGACTAAAGGATTTTGTTTTATTTTGTTTTGTGTTTTTGTTTTGTTTTGATTGTTTTGTTTGCTTAGTGTTTTTGTTTTGCTTTGCTTTGTGCTTTGTTTTGTTTTGTGTTTTTATTTGGTTTTGATTGTTTTGTTTTGTTTTGTTTGTTTGTTTTGTGTTTTTGTTTTGCTTTGCTTTGTGCTTTGTTTGTTTGTTTTGTGTTTTTGTTTTGCTTTACTTTGTGCTTTGTTTGTTTGTTTTGTTTTGTGAAGTAGGAAAGGGTTTTTATCACTATTGATAAATTTCATATAAAAATAATTTGGTGTCAAATTCATACCAATATATAGCAATGTTCAGATTAAACATATGTATTTGTTTGTTTGTGTGTTTGTTTGTTATTGAGATATAAACTCAGTTTATATATAATGAGATATAAACTCAGAATTGCGAAAAACAGTCTGAATTTTGAGATACAAACTCAGAATTGCAAGAAAAATGTCTGAATTGTGAGATGTTAACTAGAATTTGAGTCGCAATTACAAGTTATAAACAATATAAAATAAATATTCAATATAAATTAAAAATCTAAATAATGAAATATAAACACACAATATCAAAAAAGATATACCTATATATACCAATGATCAGATTAAACCTGTATTAATTAATGTATTTATTCATTAATTCATTCTATTTTAACAATGTTTTTAACACCACCGATGACAAAAAAGCATGGAGCAAACATTATTTTAAATTATGTTAATAATTACTTATGTTATTATATTTTTATATACTGTAATGGAGATACAAAATAACAAGTAAGTAAATCAATGAATAAATAGAATAGAATATGACAGATAAAGGGGACAAGATTGTGTTTCTATATGTAAATTTTAAATGTACAAAACAATAAAGAACAACTTCTGAAATATCTAGTGGATTACTCGTTATAAAATATTGTCTTTTTCTTGATTATTTGAAGTTGTTTTCATGACTGTCCCATTCCTGGTCATATTACGCCATTCTGGTGTGTAACGGGAACTTTTCACAAATCCAAAAGACAGATGAAACAATGTTCTCATGGAATATCCTGTTTTACTTGGAAATATGTCATTATACAAGTAAAGTGCAAACAGAGTTTTATGTTGACTTTAACGCTTTTTAAACACTCATTCAGCACTCACCCTTTTCCAATATTTTGAGAAGGGATCGTTATTATGCAGTCGTGCTACTCTAGAGTATCACTGGGTATTGTGGCAAATGAATAATTCTCTTTGACTGGATGAAAGCCCAGTTTTTACTTAAAGTCCTGGCACATTCGTAAGCATACCGCGATGCCCCTTTAGGACAAGACCTTTTACTGTTGAAACTGAGTTACATATATACTGACAAATTACATTTATGACTCCAAGCTTCTGGGAATCACTTGAATACTGATGCAGCGATTCCACCTGCTTCATCCATACAACAACATATTTTCCCTGCTATAATCTTGCTATAAAGATTGTCCTCTTGCTTGTCTCTTTCACAGGTGTAATAATGAAAATGAGTGGTACCAAATTCATGAGAACATTATCCGCAAGTCCAGCACCAAATACACCGCCCCCAGCACTAACTACGGTAAGTGCACTTTCAAAATGCTCGTACACTTGATTTATCATCACATGAGAAACATTTAGCTTCACTGAAACTGAACAGTCCTTCCAAAAAGTCTGTCCATTATCCTGCTTCACTGCTGTAGTCGACATTTCACTTATTTTGCTGAAATAACTGTAGGTGATTGTCTGGTTGTTAATTTGACATTCTGCTATAATGAAGTGACTGACTTGAAATAAATTAAATCTGCATGGGGAATTTTTTTCACTCTCACAAGATTTTGCAGATTTCTATTGGAATGACTAAATTTTACATGCTAAATTTTGGTAAATTTGACAGCACCTTTACAGGAAAATGCAAAAGTACTCATGACTATGCCAGGTAACTAAGAATACAAGTCACATGCAAAGCTTTAGCCTCAAAAACCAAACATAACCTCTATAGAAGGCATTTTCTGCCATGGAATAAAATATAAAATAAAATTGTGACTTAAAATTGCAACTTTATCTCACAATATGAGTTTTTTTCCCTAAGAATTCTGAATTTATATCTCACAATTTGGTCTTTGTTTCTCTTAATTCTTAGTTTATATCTCGCAATTTTTTATTTTTATTTTGCCATAACAGGATAAAAATTGCAACTTTTTTCACAATTCTGACTTTTTTCTTGAAATTGTGAGTTTATATATCACAATTTGGACTTCAGAATTGTAAGTTAACATCTTACAGTTCTGACATTGTTTCCTCACAATTCTCAGTTTATATCTCACAATTTGGTCATTGTTTCTCGTAATTCTTAGTTTACATCTCGTAGTTATTTTTATTTTTTTGCCGTCGCGGAATAAAAAAAATGTTATCACGTTTTTGTTTTTTTTTCTTCATATTTCTGATTTTTTTTTTCTATTGTTAGTTTATATCTCACAATTTGGACTTTTCTCAGAATTGTGACTTTTTTTCTCAGAATTGCAAGTTTATATTGCAAGAAAAAAGCTGCAATTACCTTTTTATTATATTTCTTTATCCTGTGGCGGAAACAAGCTTTCGTAAAACGTGTGGGAAATGTAATGTCCAATGTAATATTGAATATATTTTAGACAATTAGAAAATGTGAAAATAGTTTTATTTTAATTACTCAAAATTTTATAACATTTAAATTTTGGCCATTTATTGTTTATCAGTCATAACATGAAAATAATTATCGGCTTGTCGTATCGGCCAGAATTTAAATATCGCCAATCTTTTCAATCAAAATAATTGAGCTGATTTTCACAGAATGCTAAGGTGTTGTGGGTGGTTTCCAGGGTGTTACTATGCTGTTACCAGTGTTTTTTTAGCCTGTTGCTATGTGGTTGCTAGGTTGTTGCTACTGTATGTGGTGCTATAGGTGGTTACTTACTGGTCTGTAGTGTTAAGGTGTGGTCACATTAGTGAAATTTCAGAGGAAATTTGCAGAAAACGGTCTATTGCCAATAGTGTAGCGATTGACAGTAGTCACTTTCAAACCAAGCAGCTTTATGTCGAATGTCTGGGAAATTATGAAAGAGTCCAAAGTAATATTGAAAAGCTAGATCAGATTCCTAAAACACTCAAAATGAGCTGCATCAGCAAGCAAAGTAATGCCAGTTTAAGTCCTAGTGGAAAAGAATATGGTAGAGGTGTGTTTTGAGGTATCGTTCAGTAGTAATTGGTATGTTAGCTGTTCTAATTGAGAGTTTATTCCACCATCGAGGGGAAGGCCTAGACAAATTTCTGGACCCGGATGAACAGAAACCCTTCCCACTGGGAACTGACGGGAGCCAGGCAATCAGAATGACTGATTGCAGCAGGCGGGCCGGTGTGTACGATTTAATGAGGAATTGAAGGTAGTGCAGAGCCAGGTCATTAGCGGCATTGTAGACCCAAAACAATATCTTGATTGAATTGAATTGTGGCAGTTACTGGCAGCCAGCATAAAGACCTGAATAAAATTGTAACAGAAACACAATCTCTCTGGTACGTTCTTCGAAACAAAGGCCCATTTTACTAAATAAATGCTAACATAATCACGAGGATAATTACAGTGGTTGTCATGATGAAGTTGTCTCACATTTCCCCCGAACTCGTCTTGTCGTGCAGGTCTAATCATCTCACTGCAGCTGTTGAGGGGCGACATGGAGAAGGTGCGCAGGGAAAACCCCATCATATTCAACCGCGGCGTGGCCATCACACGCAAACTGGGCTTCCCTGATGTGATCATGCCAGGTAAGTCTCATGAAGGTCACGGTTGGATTTAAAGTTTTGTTCAGGACTGAATGAATGCAAGAGAAATGCCAAGACTTTATACTCATGGTCTGAAAGTAGAAGACTGTTGCAGCAAGTTAGGTTTAAAATATCTACAATATAGTAATAGTTGTTACACAATATGTACCATATCGGTTATTGGCCGATATTAGATTTTGAAAATATATTAGGTGATATTGGCTCTATAGTTCTGCATGCTCATTTTCCTTATTTTTACATCATTTAATGTTCATTTAAAGTTAGTCTTTAAACATACTAATAATTTAATAACTTTGTTAAATGTAGTCTTTAGAAAACTCAAAATGTATATCCATTTTTGTACAATGTTGCGATGCCTAATTTTACCTGTAGCATTTATTTATTTATTTATTTTGACAAAAACAGTATAAAATATGAATAATTACAGTATAGTAATAGTTATTCATATGCAATGCACAATATGTTGGTATCATATCGGTTTATGGCCGATATTAGAATTTTTTAGATATATTGGCCGATATTATCTGCTTAGTACTCCATGATCATTTCCCTTATTTTTACATCTAGATCATATTTGACCAGCACTTACTTAAAGATAGTCTTGAAAAATATTAATTATTAATAATAACTTAATTATAACGTGTAATTTTTAGCAAATCTCAAAATTTATATTTTTCATATTGTAGATTACAATGATACATTTACTTGTAGCATATTTTTTTTTTAAATATTTTATTTAGATAAAACAGTATAAAATGTTTATATCCACAGCGTAGTAGTAGTTATTCATACACGGTGCACAATATGTTAGTACCATGTCGGTTATCGCCATTATTAGAAGTTTTTTAATATATTGGTTGATATTGGCTGTTTAGTTATGAATGGTCACTGTTTAATTGTGAATGGTCTTTTAATGGTCACTTGAAGTTAATCTTTAAAAATACTAATAATTTAATAATTAAATGTAATCTTTAGCAAATGTCAAAATGAATATCCATTTTTCATACTGTACAATGTTGTGGTACCTAAATTCTCTTGTAGCATATAAAACAATTTATTTATTGTTGTTTTTATTTTAATGAGACAAAATGGTATACAATTTTAATATTCGCCATTTATAGGTTATCAGCCAAAACATGCAAATAATTAGCGGCTTATCGTATCAGCCACTCTTTTCAATCAAAATAATTGGGTTGACTCGCAGAATGCTAGGGTGTTGTGGGTGATTTCCAGGGTGTTGCTATGCTGTTGCTAATGTGTTTTTGCCTGTTGTTTTTAGCCTTTGTGGTTGCCAGGTTGTTGCTACAGTAGGTGGTTTCTAATGTGCTATAGGTGGTTGCTTACTGGCTAAATTTAAAAGAATCGCAGCATTAAGGTGTGGTCATGTTAGTAAAAGACAACTTGCAGACCAAAACGCATAATTGGCGATTCCAACCACCTGTTGCGAAACCTGCATGGATAAATCTTTCATGAAATTCCAGAGTGTAAATTCCTATTGAAATGATTGAATTTCAGGTGCAATAATGTGATGAAAAAACAGTGATAAATGTTAGCGTACCTTTACCTAAACATCTGTTGCGTTTTCATTGTATCAAATAAATCACTAAAAACCTTTAGTTCGGTTCCAAACTCAAAGTTTCCTCACTACCTAGAAACCTCATAAAGCCACCCTTCCGTCACGCCATCTGCAAACCTCTTCATGTGGAGGTCAAAGCGACTTTTTCATTCTCATGCCATTTTCAATAAGCCGGAGATGAGTTTGTTTAACAAAATCTCTCCAGAAGTATTTGTTTTCTGAAACATTCCTTTTCTGGTGTCAGTGTCTTGACGGGTTGGTATTGCATCATCCATTTCAGCTTTTCCCGGGTTCTTTTTAATGCCTGATTTCAACAGCCTTGGTTCTGGGAGGGTTTTTCGCACTCATTTTCTCCGTAGGGATTTCAAAAAAGTTTTAAGCCATGAACCAAACTAACCACGACTTTCATTTGAAGCAAAACAGTGTTTGAATATCAGTAAACAGATAGAGGTAAAATACTGTATATGTCTTTTATGAGGGATTGAACTCGTCCCATGAAGTATTTGATATAATTGAATCGACTGTAGAATCTTGAATCTAGAAGCTAAAATTGAATATAGTATCTTATTTTATCAATTTTTGATTTGACATCTAAAGAGGCGTATATCATCACATAACATGACAATAACACCAGATTAGTTTTATTGTAGTATTATGTGTATATTATTTTATTATTTAGTCATTTATCAGACGCTTTTATCCAAAGCGACTTACAAATGAGGACAACAGAAGCAATCAATTGTAGTATTAAAACAACTAAAAACAGATTCAAAACTTAAAGCTAAAACTTTATAAATACTACCTATACACATTTTAAAAATAAAGAAATTAAATAAAAACGACAAATGCATACAACAAATTTTCAAAACTTAACATTTAAATGAAAAACAAAAAATAAAGCTAAAAACAATTCAAAATATTAAAGAACAAAAGGTATAATAGTGATTCTACGTAACACTAAGCCAAACACCAAAAAAAAAATTTTTTTGGTATATATACAGTACTATTATTAAATGAACATTTATTTGAATGTATTCAGTTTTAATTTAAATTTTCATAATTTTGTTATGTGCATTTATTTATTTTTAGTTAAATTTATTTATTTCTTTTTAGTTAATTAACTTTTAGTTCTAGGTATAGTAATTGTTGTACTTATTTATTTCAGTTTTTTTTTTTCATTTTCTTTGTTTTAATATTTATTTTTTTGTTTAAGTTTTCATCTAATACTTTTATTTTATTTTTTTAGCTTTATTTCATTTTTTAATAGTTTTAGTTTGAACAAAATTACTCTCAATTTTGAAAGTTTTCTTTAAATTAATTTTTTCATCTAATATTTTATTTTATCTATTTTATTTCAGCTTTAAAACTATTTTTTAATAGTTTAACAATAGCAATACTGTAAGTGATGTAAGGGAATCTAAGTGTAAATATATCCAGATAGATTCTCAAAAAACATCAAAAGTCAGTTTTCCTGATGATTTTTGTCTTATATTTTTATTTAATTTTAGCGTTATTTTTTTTTTATAGTTTTAGTTAATAGTACCAACACTATAAATGAGTGTATAAATATCCAGATTGAGGGGGAAAAAAAACGTCAGTTTTCTCGATGTTCCTGATTCTCTGTTTTGTCATCCTCTTAATATACATAACAAAACATAATGTGAGCACATGCAAATACGTAAACCGTAGTATCTTCTTCCATTTCTTTATACACTAGCTACTGCTGTCTCTTTCCAGCTGGGAATGCACCAGGATTGTTTCTTTTTGGAAGGAATTTGTCCCTGAATAGAGAGCTTTATATGGAGTTCATTCAGTGAAATAGCTCAGAAGCAGTGGAGAGAAGCGTCTAACGCTGTAGCCGTAACCCATTACAGAAAGCGTCTAAACAGGAACGCTCAGGAGCCAGCCTGCTGCTGCCAGATAACATTTTTATCGGGATGTGGAACTGTAGGATGCTGTCAGCCAAACAGACAAACACACAAAGCTTAATTCCGGCTTTTACTAAATAAAGCTTTGTCTATTCCATCCACTGTTTCTGAAAGCAGTTGTGATTGTATTTGCTTTCTTATCTAGATTTGATTCATGGTAGATTCACTAACTAACAGTAGCATTTGTGTTGTGGGACGTTGCATGTCCGCTTACTTTCTTTTCGATGTGATATTAAGTACCATCAAGGCCAATATTGTCAATATGGATTCCTGTAACAAAACTAGTATTTAGTAATTATAACCATTTAACATTGTTGTTAAATCATTTTAAACATTTAATTTTAAACACTACGAATTATGGGGTTATAAGAATCCTTTACTAACAAAAAAATATAGAACATAAAACTTTAAACTTTAAAATCAAACTTTAACAGCTTTTATTTTCTAATGACTCCAGAGCATGTTCAAAGATTTAAAAAAAAGTTTCTATAGTTTTTTTTCTTCTAATTTTTTTATTCCAATTTTGTCAAATGTCATAGACATTTGCTTTTAAAAAAATACAGTTGTCAAAATGAAATTGTATGCACTTATTGTGTAACTGTTGCTATTATAGTTTTTATGAATATTAAATATTAAAAAAAATACTTCATTATTTTTCATTTACAATTTCGTTTCAAAGTAATTTATTGTGTTTTTGTAATTTTTAGTAGTTTATATACTATTTATTTTTATATTTTTGTTCTAGTTTTTTATATTATTTTTATTATATATTTATTATTTGAAGAAATGTTGGTAACTAGCTGAAACACATTTATTTCATTTTAAATAACAGAAGTATTTTTATTACTATAATAATAATAATTATTATTATTATTATTTCGTTTATATTATATTATAAACTAAATATATTATACTTTAATATATTATACTATAATAATATATTATACTGAAACTAATATATTATATTAGTTTCAGTTTTAGTTAACTATAATAACCCTTTTTAATAATGCTGAAAAAAAACAACAACAACTTGTAAAATATGACAGTACAACAGTCTTTTTGTAACACACTTTTTCTTTCATTTGCCAACCCATATTAACATATATATACTTTTTTTTTTAAGGTTTTAGTTTTTCGCTTCTGTCAGGGTACCTTTAGAAGTGTTATAACTGAGCAGAATTTTATCTGTGCTACTTTGTAATATCAGTTCATACATACTGTATAAGGGGGATTCATAATGTTTGCAAAGGTCCTCAGACGGTCAGTGTTGTTCTTTGTTACTCAAAATGTACAAGTCATTTTCAATTTGCGAGCAAAAGTCAAGGAAACTATTTCATTATGCACATTACACACACAATGAAGCGAGCACATTATTGCGTAAGGTGGTTTATATCATTCTCCCTCAGTATATCCACCCCCAGTAAAGTGATTCAAGAGATATCAGGTGGCATCAGAGCAAACTGAAGCTTTTCTTTAAAGGGGTCATATGATGCGATTTCAAGTTTTCCTTTCTCTTTGGAGTGTTACAAGCTCTTGGTGCATAAAGAAGATCTGTAAAGTTGCAAAGACTAAAGTCTCAAATCCAAAGAGATATTCTTTATAAAAGTTAAGAGTCAGCCACGCCTACCTAAAATGGCTCGTTCTAACACGCCCCCACATGTCTACGTCACTATGTGGGAAGATTTGCATAATGCGCCCAAATGTTCACGCAAAGAAAATAAACACATTTCATTACACCAAATACACATAATAATGTTCGTTTTAGCAACATCATATGACCCCTTTAAGGTGTATGACGAAATGTACATCTCTGTGCTCATAACTGTCTGCAGGAGGAATGGTTTCTAGCAGAGCCACGCATTTTCTATTATTGCATCAGCTGTAATTGTAAGAAATCAAATTAAGCCCACAACTTCTTTGACTACCAGCTAAAACTTTGTTCCCCTGAGTAGACGAGTAAAAGCTAAGCGCTATTCCAGAGAGAGTCTCTGTTTATTTTGAGAGTTATGATTCAGATGCTTGCCGCTCGGCGGAGAGAATGTGGGCTGCTGGGTCATGGACTGAATGAGGTTGATAATGAAAGAGTCATCTGAAAACCAAGGTCACATGTGGAGTCACAGTGTAAAGACAGCTTGAACTCAAGTTTGATGAGATTTATTACAGCCTTTCGCTCCTACGGTTTAGCAGGAAAAACGATTTGACCTTTATGTAGCAATAGCTTTTATGACAGTCTGTAAAAGAGTTTAAAAGTGAAGCTGAATTAAGTGTGCCGGGGGCATCATGGGTAACCATACATGGTCTGCATGACCATATTCTACATCCCTAATACCTAAACTTAACAATTACCTTACTAATTATTAATAAGCAGCCAATTAGGAGTGTATTGAGGCAAAAGTCGTAGTTAATGATTTGTTAATAGCGTGAATTGGACCTTAAAATAAAGTGTGACCATTACATTTTCTCTTAAGCTTGAATAAAAACCACTTAGGTATAGGAGCATGCTAAAATATTTGTTTACAGTTTGTTTGGTTTTTTTTTTTTTTATCTCTCCAGCTTTTATGGGTTAGACAGAGTAGACTGATGTATTTTGGTTCTTTCCCAATAACTGTGTTTGTATCTGTAGTCAGGGTCCAAAATTCACTCTCTCCAAGTGGCAAGATTATCATCAGAGTTTAGACAAATATGTCTGAGCCTTTTTTTAAACTATATGTGGTGACACATTTATGTAGAGTTTTCCCCGCATTTATTCTCCAAAATGAAAATAGAAGGAACAAAATCAAAAGGATTTTCTGACAGGTACAGTTTCACCAAGCAAAAAAAAAGACAAACAATTCTTGCTGAACAACGATATTCTGAAAAAGTTATATTTTGAACACAAAAAAAAAAAAAACTTTGTCCATCTCTATTATTATTATTATTATTTTTTTTATTATTCATTATCATTTATTTTTTTTTTCATTATTTCATTAGATCTTTGTGTAACTCCATGTGGTGACACATGTATTATGTTTTCCTCACATTACCCCTCTAAAATGAAAGTATAAGGAACAAAATCTATTTTTTTTGACAGGTACAGCTTCACCAAGCAAAAAAATAAAAACACTACCTAACAGTGGTATTCATAAAAAGGAAAAAAGTCTGTAAAAGTGATGTTTACAATCCAAACACAAAAACTTACTGGAAAAAAATAAATAATAATAAATTATTAAAATAAAATAAAATCATTCTATAAAGTTTGTCACTTTTATTTATTTATTTATTTTTTGGTCTAGGATCTCTGAACTTTTTAAACTCCACATGGCGACACGTGTGTTAAGGTTTACTCACATGAACCCTCCAAAGTGAACATATAAGAGAAAACACAGAACACAATGTTTTTGTGACAGGTGCAGTTTCACCAAGAGAAGAGAGAGAGAAAACAAAAGTTACAAAACAGTGTAAAAAGTTACGTTTACAATCCAAACACAGAAAATACTTTCTGAAAAAAAAAAAAAAAAATCTTTATGCATCTCTAACTTGTTTTTTTTTGACTTTTTTTACTTTTTATTTTTGACTAAGATGTATGAACTTGTGGCAACACATGTACTGTATGTTGAGTTTTCCTTGCAATAATTCTTCAAAACGAAAATATAAGTAACAAAATGACAACATATTTGTAACAAGTAGGGGTGTAACGGTACACAAATATGACAGTTCGGTACGTACCTCGGTTTTAACGTCACGGTTCGGTATGATTTCGGTACAGCAGGGGGAAAAACTAAACTTTTTTTTTTTTTTTTTAAATGGTTTAGTGAACAAGTTGCTCTCTTTAAATAAATTCAGTTATAGTTTCAATTTTCTTAGTGATAAAAATCTACCTCCGCTTATGCTTAAAACTGTAGGGAGCCCTTTTACATTATAAGGTTACAATTAGGCCTAACAACTTAACCCAAACTTAAATTTAATTGCTATTTATATTTAAATAGATGATCAACACTCAACATAAAAAAAAATAAAAAAAATTGTATGCAAACATATAAATTGCACATAATGCAGTTTTTAAATTAACTTATAAATAATACAATTTCTAAGCTATTTGTTAAAATATATTCAATTACACAATGGCTGTCACAGCATGTTTCATAACAGATTAATTTAAACATACTGTACATTAAGTAATTAAGACTAACAGGTTTAGTAAAATATGAGTATATGGTGTAATATTTCGCAAAATGCTCCTCTCTAGACTTCATTTCTCTAGTGAACTAACGAGCTGTGGACACTGATGACTTGCTGAGGTAAATTAAATGCTACATGACATTTTATTTCCACGCTGTATTGTTCATGTCTTTCCGCGGTTGAAGCACTGATTGAGCAATTACATGAGGCATGAGATGTTCAGTCATGTTTATTCGCGTTAAAACTAGTAGTACAGAGGAAGGAATGACCGCGTTCACTCGCGCTCCGCTCTGCACAAATCTGCGGGGCGTCACGGCTCAGACACCGGAACCGGAGCTGATCGCGG